ATTTCATGTAAAAGTCGTTTGTTTTCAGCCATTAATTCATCCAAAATATCATTTATACTGATTTTCAAACACTTTTTATCTCTCAATAAAACCATAATTTCATACAATTTATAAATTATTAACAAATTTAATTCAAAATACAATAAAACACATAAAATACAAACGTGTAATAAGTTATTACTAATAACTCACTAGCACGCGCACTGCACTGACTACATAGTCCCCTATTCAGTCAGTCTATCAGTATAGCTCTGATATAGCGTTACGCTGGATAGACTGACTGAATAGGGGACTATGTAGTCAGTGCAGTGCGCGTGCTAGTGAGTTATTACACGTTTGATAAAATAGTGATAAAAACCTAAAAACAGATTCAAAACAATGACAACAACTTTAGGGGACTTTCTATTAATTGCCGACAATTTGTTAATCCATTCAAATTGTCATCAATTTTATTAAATAATTCAAATAAAATTTTATTTACAACAAATAATACAACTCGTGATACATTATCAATTGAATAAAATAAAAATAACTTAAATTACATAATCATAATTACAAAAAACAGTGCAATCAATCACTTTTGGTGCACTTGTTTATAGTGTTTAGCAATATTGCCACTATTGGCGCACCGGTACTGACATCCGGGCCAATGACAGGCGTATGGCTTGAGATTGTTGTGTATATTCATGTGATCCTTAAGACTCTTGGGAATGGGAAACGCTTTGCCACAGTCGGGCCATTCGCACTGATAAGGACGGGCGCCGGTGTGAGTGTTTTGATGCAAACTAAGCCGGTGATTACAGTTGGCCCTGTAGTCACATCCCGGCCACATACAGGCAAACGATTTTACTATAGCCCGCCGCTCGAAGCCGTGTTCGAGCACTCGGTGTTTGGCCATCTGTTTGTGGTTAAAAAAGCGGGCGTCACAGCCATCGACGGTGCACTTCACCATCCGTCGGCCTGAGTGCCCGACTTTATGGGCTTTGAGATGAATGTCAGACTTGAAACTCTTGCCGCAGCCCTCGTGATCGCACCGGACGGGCCGTTCCGTCTGGTGTACGACTAGATGTATATCCAATTGGTTCTGATTGGGGAACCGGCGGTCGCAGCCGTCGTGCGTACACTGGAACGGGCGCTGCCGTGTGTGGACGTGCCTGATATGAGTGTTGAGTGTGTTTTTGTACTTGAACATTTTACCACACGAGGGGTAATGACATGCGAATGTGGGCGTCCGTATGTGGACGCCCTCCATGTGCTTACGTAACGGCCAGTAATCGGCGACCTCACGGCCGCAACCGATTTCGTCGCACCGGTATTGACCGGTCGCTGAGTCGAAACACCGGCGCTCGATCTCCGCCCGCCGTTCCTGTGCTATATTGGGTCGCGGGTTGTCGTGCATTGACTGGCAGTGCTTTCGCAGCGCTGACGGCGTTTCGCACCGACGCTCGCATCGATCGCATGCATACACTTTTGGGCGACGATATCGTACGCCCGATCTTCGCGTCTTCTTCTTCTTCGGCGTCGTCGATGGTGTCCACGACTTGTCCTCAACCGTGTCTTCGCCAGTGATAGTGTTGTTGTCATTGAAATCACTGGCCGTTTGTTTGACTACTTTTGCTGATGTTTTCGCTGTTTTCTTGCGGTCTGTCTTTTGGGCCGCTTTTGTCTGATCCGAGTCTTCATTATTAGTGACCACTTCTTCCCCGAAATCATTGTCTTCTCGTTTCACTACTATTTCTGATGTCTTTCTCTTCTTATAGACTCTCTTTTGTTGTGGTTTTTGT